TAAGATCTGTGTCAATGTTAATGCCAGTCAGCTTTTCCTGAATGCCCAAAGGGAAGAGGGCATAATGAAGCATGTCTGACCCTCTTCCCATAATGGCTGGAACTAGTTTTTCAGGTTAACATTGGAATGCCCTTTGCCAAGATGAGGGGTCCATTCAGGTCACTGGGGGCTTAGAAATTTTGGTTTGTACTACCATCCATCATTGTTCCTCCATGGCATGACCACTTTGAGCTGCCAACTCTCCCTCTCAGCTCACTTCTGAGCACTTCTTAGGGCATGATCGGTGAGGGGGGAAGGGAGTCCAGCTACTTTCCCACAGCTACTAGAGCCAGAACAAGGCTGTCATTGAGTTCTCTCCCCCATCACCCAAACAACCATCTCTGCTCTGTTGACCCCATATCACTGTAGCATAAGCACATCTGTGGGGTCAGCTGCCCTCCCTAGATAGGAAGTAGACACAAGTTTCCTCTATTCTTAGTTTCCTCAAGGTTTATCTTCTCTTCTGCTTGCCAGCCAGAGTTCCCTCTCTGCTAAAGGAATTCACCTTGGGAAGATGATAGGGGGCTGGGTCTTCCTTTGAGACTACACATCTCTCATGTCTGGATAACCTATGATAGTATCTAAGGGCTGGTAATCTTGCATGGAGGCATCAGGGGAGTTCTTCTGGACCACTCTTATTTGGTTCAAAATCACTAGTTAGGCCCAAATATTTCCTGAATGCTCAAAAAGTCTTTCCTCTCAAATCTAAGTCTTGTGTTCAGCAATTTCATTTGAATCTCAAAAGTTAAGCACTGACTTTATTTTTCTTGGCATTCCAGCTATGACAACCTCACTTTTCCCTGGGGCAGGGCATGCCTGGGACTGCAGAGCAGAAGAATGGTAGAAGGGAGGACCTGTTTAATGTCTCATAATGATCTTCTAGAGTTGCCACAATCCTGCCTTTATCGTTATGCTAAGTGCCTTAAACCAATGTAATCCTCAGAACAATCTCAAGAACTAAGTATACTCATTCCATTTACAGATGAGGAAGTGAAAGTTCAAAGGGAGAATGGGGAACTTGTTAAAAGATTCCAGTTGTACGTGGTGGAGAAATAATGAACCTAGCATAATCTCATTCCAAAGTCTTCATTTTAAACCCTAATAGTGAGGCTTAAGCCAGTAATCCTAGAACTTTGGGAGGCTGAGGCAGGAGAATCACTTGAGGCCAGGAGTTCTAAACCAGTCTGGGCAACACAGTGAAACTCTGTCTCTAAAAAAAAAAAAAAAAAAAACAAAGCAGCTGGGCATGGTGGTGTGTACCTGCAGTCCTAGCTATTCAGGAGGCTGTGACAGGAGGATCACCTGAGCCCAGAAAGTTTAGGCTGCAGTGAGTCATGATAGCACCACGACAATCCAGCCTGGTGACAGAGAGATCTTGTCTCTAAATAAATAACTAACCCCCAACAGTGGCCTTATATCTTGTTCAACAACTAACTCTCTAGGGAATTTGTTAAAAATAATTTTGATAGGCCAGGCGCAGTGGCTCCCACCTATAATCCCAGCACTTTGGGAGGCCAAGGCTGGTGGATCACTTGAGGTCACGAGTTTGAAACCAGCTTGGCCAACATGGTGAAACCCCGTCTCCATTAAAAATACAAAAATTAGCTGGGCATGGTGGTATGTGCCTGTAATCCCAGCTACTCAGGAGGCCGAGGCAGGAGAATCGCTTGAACCCAAGAGGTGGATGATGCAGTGAGCTGAGATCATGCCACTGGACTCCAGCCTGGGTGACAGAGGAGCCTCGTTCTCAAAAGAAAAAAAAATAGTAATAATTTTGATAAAGACCTACTCCAGGAGATCCTGATCCAATTGGTCTGGGTTAGAGCCTGGGCATTAGTATTTCGAACAGTGTCAACCTTGTGAAAGGACAATAAATCTTGGGACCTCCCAAAGGGAAGTCAAGCTGGAAACTGCTTAGGGCAAACATGCCTCCCATTCTGTTCCTAAAAACAGCCACTAAGGTAAAAAAGCTAGATCCCTCCCTCACAATTTGTCCACAAGGAAATTCCTTTTGGACAAAGGATAAACAGAACGCAAAGTCATCCCTCTGCTCACTGAGATAAATGCATATCTGATTGCTTCCTTTGGAAAGCTTAATTAGAAATTCCTAGCTACTCTGGAGGCTATGACAGGAAGATCACTTGAGCCCAGGAAGTTGAGGCTGCAGTGAGTCATGATAGTGCCACTACAATCCAGCCTGGGTGACAGAGAGATCTTGTCTCTAAATGAATAACTAACTCCCAACAATGGCCTCATGTCTTGTTCAACAGCTAACTCTCTAGGGAATTTGTTAAAAATAATTTTGATAGGCCAGGCAAATTGGCTCCCATGTATAATCTCAGCACTTTGGGAGGCCAAGGTAGGTGGATTACTTGAGGTCAGGATCCTCCTTGCCTCAAGTTGTCACATCTTTCTGATTGAACCAATGTACATCTTACATATATTGATTGATGTCTCATGTCTCCCTAAAATGTATAAAATCAAGCTGTGCCCCAACAACTTTGAGCATATATTGTGGGACATCCTGAGGCTGTGTGCGTCCTTAACCTTGGCAAAATAAACTTTCTAAATTGTCTGAGACCTGTCTCAGATATTTAGGGTTCACAACTTTAATTAACGAAATTCTTAAGAAATGATTAAATATAGAGTTTGTAACCATAATTGTTCCATTGCCCAATGTGCACAGCAAGTCAATATGCTGAAATACCTAGTTGCAGCAGAGAAAGAGATTTAACTGTAGGGCAGCTGAATGAGATGGGAGAAAACCTGAAATCCTTCTCTCCAAGGGATTCAGGGCTAGAATTTTTAGTGATTTTGGAGTGGGGCCAAAGTGTGGAGACCTTTGCTTGGCCCAAGAGTGTAGGGTGAAGTCATAGAACAGGGAGATGAAGAAACTATATTCTCATGCTGATTCTGCTCGTCTCTGGAGGACTTCAAACTTGTTAGCATCAGCTGGAATTTGGGATCTGAAAAACATCTTAAACAATTCTTAAACAAAAGTCTTATGATTCTGAGGTCAGAGAGTCTATCTTAACCAGAGGCCTCATGATTCTAACTTCAGACAGCAATACTATCTGTAGGAACAATGAGAATGCAAGTGGTCGGGATCTAGTACTCCATAACTTTCACTTTCTGTTACAAGGAAGTGGGCCAAAGTGCAGCCTAATTAATGCTTAATCCTAACTGTATTTCTGTCCAGAATGCTTGTTAACATGGTGAGGATGGCTTCAAGTTTATTCAAGCTCAAAGCTTGAGGGAGGCCACCCAGAAGCATAGACTCAAAAGGCCCTAAACACACACTCGGATTAGAAGTAGCTACAAGAGGATTTTTGAGGAAAAAAGAAGAGTCAGTTCCTAAATTGTTTACCAATAATTTATACTAAAATTATATAAGCTATTGATTGGCTTATTGTTCTTTGCAATGCAAATTCCAGGAACACGAAGATAATGGGGCAGTGAAGAGGGAACAAAATGCCTTTAAACAGCTGCCCTGGACACGGGCACAGATATGTGATTGAAGTCCCATCCTTGCGTCTCTCCAGGCTTGATAAATTTCGCATACTTCACGTAGCTTGGCCTGCTCTGAGCTAGTTTTCTTTCCCAACAGTCTTTGTAGTCTCCATAATTCAGAGGTACAGCAAAGTTTGAAAGCCAGCTCTGTCACTAATTGCGTGGTTTTGGACAAATGAGTTCATCTAGTATCTCAGTTTCCTCATTTGCTAAAAGGGGGATAATAACAGCTGCAACACCATAGAGCTGCTGTGGGAATTAAATGAATTTAAAATGAAAGCACTTGGAAGAGTACTTGACATATAATAAATGCTCAGTAAGTGTTAAAGATGGTTAGTTTTCCTTTCTCTTAGCAGCAACTGAAAAATATCTTTTAAGGAGCGCCATTTCCTGGACATATTAAAAAAAGGGGAATTGCCTGCATTTACACAGATTTTTTTGATAATTGATGTCTCAGAGAGCAATACTCTTTTAGCCTCTTCTCTAAATCTAGGTTTATGCCTGATTTAGATTCCTAGTCTCCTGTGGTCCTAACTACCCTGAGAACATGTTATGAAGGTAAATTGAAATTAATTTAGGGATGTAATGATGAGAGCAGGTAAAAGAGAAATCGTTCAGTGGTTCCTAACCTTGGCTGTACCTTAGAACTATCTGGAGAGCTTTAAACAATTTCCAAGTCAGCTGGGCATGGTGACCCACGCCTGTAATCCCAGCTCTTTGGGAGGCCCAGGCAGGAGGACTGCCTGAGGCCAGAAGTTTGAGACCAGTCTAGGCAATATGGTGAAACCTCCTCTCTATTATATATTAAAAAATAATTTTTAAAAATTCCTAAGTCATACCCCAGACCAGTTAATATCAGAATCTCTGGGATCAGGGCCCAGCTATCAGTCTATTTTAATCTCCAGGTGATTCCAGTGTGTAGCCACTGGTCTCACCTTAGCTCAGCTAAGGCCCAGTAATCTGTATTCTAACAAGCCTTCTGCAAACCTCAGGACCTTTAGTGTAAACTATTCCATCATCCTCCCAATGTTCAGGCCTCTGTTATCGCTTATCTGCACAGTAAGTGTGACTTGAAAGCAAGAGAGAAGGTGCAGCAACCCTTAGCTTCTGTAAGAAGGTACAGGAGATCAGTTCTGTATGTCAAATGCCTGTTTATTCTAGCCAGACCTGCCCTAGACAGGGGCAATGAGAGTCTTTCAGCTGAAATGGTTGCTTCTCAAGAAGGAGGTGAGCCAATAAAGAAGGGCCCCACTCTCTCAAAGTGGAGACTTTAGCATTTGCCTAAAATACCCCTTCTCTCCAGTCCTAACTGCCCTGGAAGCTTCTCAGAGGCCAAATACGTAAACAAGTTCCAAACCAACACATCTGCTTTTCATTTCCTGCGGAATGCTAAAACGAGTCTTTTAAGGTTGCTTAAAATACGTCCCTCTCCTCCCGCCCCACCCCCACAGGGCGTTTGCTGTGCGTCCTCAGACCACCTCAGCTCCTCCTCCCCTACACCTGGGACTCCGCAGCGCAGACTTGGCTTCAAACGAGGCTCACGGTTCTTCCTGGCATTTGCTTTTTTGGCTTAGTGAGTGCACATTCAATATCTTTTTCTTCTTCTCTTGAAAGCACTGTCTTCAGTCTCCTCACTTGTCCCTTTCTCCTCTGGCAAGTGTAATGCTATCGACATTTGAAAGTGGCCTGGTTCCTTTGTGTCTGGTAAATGGCCTTGCTGCTGAATTTCCGTAGAACTGTGCAGAAACTAGAGCACGGGGGGTGAAGGGAGCTGCTCTCTCGGGGCTCAGCCGCCCTCCTGGGGCCCCACCTCACGCTAGGGGCTGGTAGCGGGTGGGACCTGGAGTTTCCTTCCTAAATTTGAGCAATGACTCGGCCTTAGCCACTCTTGACTTTGCTCTGCTTCGGTTTAGCATCTGTTAAGTAGTGACCTTTGCCACCAATTAATGAGGGTGAGGCCCCATTCGCTTGCAAAGAAGTGGAATTGTAAACAAACAAACTTCCAAGTGGAAAGACTAGTTCTAGGGGAAATGTGGGTGGGAAAGGTGCTCCTGTATTCTCCTTTTAGTATGAGAGACATGCCTCCTTTCTCCTGTTCAAGCACTCAGATTGATCCCTCCTCTGGGGCAGAATCCTAAGCCTGACACTCTCTCCTAAATATGCTGTTGTGTCTCATATGTCAGCTTCTCAGGGTCCTGCCAAGAGAGGGTGAGGTAACATACAACAGCTGTTACTGCCCTGATGTATCCTCCCTCCCAATGTCAACAACATACACTTTGGAGTGCCCTCTTTATGTAAGGCCTTGAGCTTTAACACTTAGCTCTGGGCCGGGCGTGGTGGCTCACACCTGTAATCCAAGCACTCTGGAGGCCAAGGCGGGTGGATCACCCGAGGTCGGGAGTTCAAGAACAGCCTGACCAACACGGTGAAACCCCGTCTATATATATATATATATATATATATAAAGACTTAGCTCTGGCCTTTAAGAATCCTGTGTTCCTGTTGAAGAGACAGGATGTGTGTAAAGATAACAGCTAGAGACCATGGCAAACAGATGATACTAAAGGCTAAAGGAATACCTAATTATTCAACAAATATATATGGAGCACCCATTGTATTCTATGTTTGGCTGTAGGCTCTGAGGCTAAACTGTGATAGGACTTTCTCCTCAGTTCAGCTAAAAGCAGGGTTCTTGTCTCACAGCCATGAGAGATTAGGCTGGCAGACACTTTGAAGGGTGAGGAAAATGGAAATTACTGGGCAAAAAGGAAAATAAATGGAAACAGGGACTCAGCAAAGTGAGAGTCCGGCTAGCTGGTTTTTCCTGCCTCACGGATTGAATCCCAGGTACTACCCTGGGTCAGGAGAGGCCAGGTTGCTCCCTGCTGCAAAGGCTTGAACTTCCGCAACTCCACCCCATTCCCCCAGTGTGTAGGCCAGTCGGAGTTTCTCAGGGGAGCCCTTTATACTTGGCTGTCTCAGAAACAGGGAGCAAAATAGATAAAAACCCCTGGCTTCATGGGTCTCATGTTCTGATGAGACAAGACAGAGCAAATAAATATGTACAATACATCAACTTGTGAGAAGTAATTTGTTTCTTCAGCACTGCCTGAAAAAAAAAAAAAAAGAAAAAAAAAGAGAGAGGAGTAATTTGAAGGAAAATGAAGCAGATTAGGTAAGGTAGAGTGACATGGTTGAGGGAATGTGGTTTTTTTAGATGAGAGATCAGAGAAGACCTCTCTGGTAAGGAGACCGTTGAGTCAAAACCTGAGGAAGGAGTGAGTGAATCATCTGAGTCTGTGAAGAATTTTCTGAGCAAGGCGAGCAGCAAGCACGAAGGCTTTCAGGAACAAGTGTGCCTGGTGAGTTCCAAGAACAAGCAGGCCAGTGTAGCTGGAAGGTAGTGAGCATGAGACCCTGGACAGGAGATGATGTGAGAGAGGTGACAGCAGGTCACTGAGGTCCCTGTGGGTGGTGATAAGGACTTTGGATTTTATTCTGAAGCCATTGGAGTGTTTTGAGCAGAGCGGTAACGTAAGTGGGCTCACAACTTGGAAGGATCTCTCTGTGTTCAAGGAGAACCCTGAGGCCAGTGAGAAGGGTGCTGCAGTAATCTGGGGTGAGATGATGATGATGGTGGCTTGGACCAGAGAGACAGGATTAAGGGTGGTGAGATGAGGTTAGATTCTGATATATAATGACAGTAGAGTAGACAAGATGGATGTGATACAGGGTTATGATTTACGATATAAAGAGAGAAATCAAGAATGATTTCAATGTTTTTTGGCCCGAACTCAAGATTTTAAATTTATAGGCGGGACAGGCTGCTTCTGGTTAAGATAATAAGGGAAGGATTAATGAAAGACCCAAGATTTGGATTTTGTGACTTACAAAAAGTCTCAAAGGGTTATTCTGAGACCATTTTATTTTCCTGGACCGCAGCCTCCTACCCCATTCCCACTTCTTTAAATTACATCAACCTGGGCCCTGGGATAGGGGACTCAACCAGCTCAAGGAAGGTGAATCTGGATACTTTAGGCCAGTCATGAAAATTCTGTACTCTTGCCAGTGTGCTGGTTTTAAAATGGGCATGTATTGGCCTGGGCACAGTGGCTCATGCCTGTAATCCCCATATTTTGAGAGGTCAAGATGGGAGGATTGCTTGAGACCAGGAGTTTGAGACCAGCCTGGACAATATAGTGAGCCTCCTTGCTACAAAACTAAAGAGCAAAATGAGCAGGGTGTGGTGGTGTGTATCGTTAGTCCCAGCTACGAAGGAGGCTGAGGTGGGAGAACTGCTTGAGCTCAGGAGTTTGACACTGCAGTGAGCTATGATCGAGCCACTGCACTCAAGCCTGGGCCACAGACTGAGACCCTGTATCTAAAAATAAAATAAAATAAAATAATGGGCATATGCTATAGTTCTGAACAATGGAACATAAAAGGGAACTCTGTAGAAGGGATGTCTGGGAAAATCTCTTAAGTCTTCAAAAGGAAGCAGGGTAATCTGGACTTGAGATGTTATTAAGGACATAGAGCTTGAACTATCTTGCAAACATAAAGAGGAAGCTAAAGGCAACAGCGGCAGGGTGGCAGAGAGAAAAGGCGGACAAGGATGGTTCCTTGAGAACACTGCTGAGCCACCCAATTACCCAACCCTGGAACTGCACAACTTCTGAACTTCTTTGTAAGATTAAAAAAATCTCCTTATCATGAAATGCTTTTGAGTTGGGCAGTTTGTACTTGAAGTGCAAAGTACATCATTTTAGATAAGTAATAAAGATTCTGGATAGGAAGAAGGCAAAAGCAAACACACTTTGAGGCAAGACTTTCTTGGCGACAAGAAAGCTCAAAGCGTATTTGGGGAAGATTGGTGGAATAACTTGACATTCATTCATAAACTCATTCAACAAGTATTTGTTGACGCCTACTGTGTGCCAGGCACTATTCTAAGATCTAGGATTCTGCAGGAAACAAGATTGACAGGGTTCTTATGGAGTTTATTACCTTTTGGGGGAAATGGGTACATGCGGACCATGGCTGCTGCGTTGGACAGCACAGGCATAGGGTCTGGGAAGGCTTAATTCAGGGAAGGCATGAAAGGATGAAACTGAGTTTGGCATTGGGTTCAGGCTTCTGCTGCTCTGCTCTGGATTCGTTCTCCAAAGAGATTTATTAGGTCAAAGGGTATAAACATTTTTAGGACTTTCCTAATTACTTTCCTAATTGGTTACATAAATTTATGATACTACCCAAGGAATACAGGTCCTAATATTACTGGTTTCAGATTTGGGGATTTCCATTTTAATTTGGCAGGGATTAATTTAGTAAAACTATTCATTTAATAAAGTTAATTCAATTAATTTAGTGAAAAAATAGCATGCTTCTTTTAATTTGCTTCTCTTTGATAATTAGTAAAATTGATTATTTTTATGTGTTTGTTAATATTTGTTCTTTTGTGAATTTTTTTGCTAGATTTTATTCAGTTACCAGCTGAGATCTTAATGAATTCTTACCAACTTATCTGAGTTCTTGACATACAATGATATTAATCTTTTTTGGTCATGTTTGTTGTAAATATATCTCATGGTATGCTGTTTATTGTTAATTCTGGTGATAGGTTGCATGTAAAATTTATTTTTAAAAATTGTTATGTGCTTAAGAATTTTAATATTTTCTGTGTAGTATAAGAAATAGTATATTGCTTCTAATTATAGAGTCACCTTCCCACTACAGTTTTGACAAATTTTTAATTCTGTTTTCTTCTGGACTTTATAGTATTAAATGTTTTTAAGATTTTAAATCAAACAAAATTAATTTTAATGTATACTATAAGGTGTGGATCTTATACTAGGTACAGTGGCTCATGCTTGAGACCAATTCTTCCCTTCCCTCTCAAATTGTTGGTCAGTTATCCCTCCACCATTTATTGAAAAATATTTGACCAGGCATGGTGACTCATGCCTGTAATCCCAGCACTTTGGGATGCCGAGGCGGGTGGATCACCTGAGGTCAGGAGTTCAAGACCAGTCTGGCCAACATGAAGAAACACCGTATCCACTAAACATAGAGAAATTAGCCGGGGGTGGTATTGTATGCTTGTAATCTGAGCTACTTGGGAGACTTAGTCCAGAGAATTGCTTAAATGTGGGAGGTGGGGGTTTTAGTGAGCCAAGATTGCGCCACTGCACTCCAGCCTGGGTGACAGCGAGACTTTGTCTCAAAATGAAACAAAAAAAAAGAAAAGAAAAGAGGGACTTCGATTCAAGATGGCGCGGTAAGAACAACTCAGGATCGCAGCTCTCAGTGAACGCTCAGAGGGTGAGTCAAAGCCGCATTTCCAGACAAATCTTTGTTGCCCACAGAACGGGGAAATTCCCAGGTATAGAAGAGACAGGGGACGCAAGCATAGCCATTTTGGCTGTTGTGGCCGCTTCCGCCGGCACCGCAGCGCAGCGGCACTCTGCAACACTCTGCACAAAACACAGTGGCCCGGGTGCCCTGCTAAACCAGCAATCTGAGATTTGGGAGGGCAGATTAGCATATCCATCTGATTAAACAGGACTTGGACAGTGAGCCAGATGAGGAGATTCCTGGGAAGTGGCATTCGAGTCAGTGCAGTGGGTCGCTGCACGGGAAATCACACAGATCTCAGTGCCCTAACAGCAGGCGACTGAAACACCTGGGAGAGAGCCATCCGTTCCACTTAAAAAAAAAAAAAAAAAAGAAAGGAGCTCTGAGGCAGGGAGCCAGGCGAGCAGGCTCGGTGGGTTTCACCCCCACAGGGACAAACAAAACGGCAATTTGAAACGCTCCAGGTGGAGAGTTTCACTGCGGGCACAGCTGAACCCAGGACGATGCAGCTCAGTGGGGGAGGGGCGTCCGCCATTACTGAAGCAATCTGCCCCTACTGAGGTACATTCCCATTGCTGACGCAGCCTGATGTTGCCGAGGCAACCCACCATAACAGAGAGATTCCGCGCAGGGTGGAGCCTGTGGCAGCAGGGCGGAGCCTGCCGCGGAGCTCGCGGCTGCAGGGCAGAGCCCGCAGCAACAGGGCAGACCCCACATCAGCAGGGTGGAGCCTTGGCGGGCAAATAGTGACTAGACTGCTTCCTAGCTGGGCAGGACAGTGCAATGGACACTCATAAAGAAAGCCCCAACTGCCTGAGACAGAGCATCTGAGGAAAAAGAGGGGTTTTATAAGTTCTGCTGCAGCAGACTTAAACATACCTGTCTAACAGCCCTGAATGAACAATGGAGCTCACAGCTCAGCACTTGAGCTCCTATAAAGTA